GCTTGTCAAAACGGTTTGTTTGATGGTTGGTTGGTATGGGGCAGAATAAGCTTGCATAGTTTAAAGAGATCAAGAGAATTTTGATTATACAGCCTTCATCTGGCTTCCATCTGTTTTTGAAGTCCACTAATTCACTGAAGTGATTCTTATCTCAGTCTTCAAATAGTCCATGTTGGCTGGTCCCAGTAGTCGTTGGTCCTCTGGGCGCCATTTAGCTCACACATTTGCGCCTCTGTAATTGCCTTCACATTCTCCAGCTTATTTTATTCAGGAGCTCCGCTTCCTCTTCCACTGAGTCTCTCTCTTGGAGGGTGCTGGATAGCAGCCCTGCCTCCCTGCATGCTCTCCCTACGCAATCTCAGCCAGCGTCATGACTTTATCCTTTCTCTTCTTCCCAAATCGATTGTTTTGTGCAGTATGGGGGAACTGAGACCCAGAGAAGTTCTACAGGCAGTCAAAGGTCAGGAAACATGGAGGGGGTGTGTGTGCAACAACACAAAGCCCTGCTACGAAGTCAATTCTGACTCCTTCCAGCCCAAGAGGGCAGAGTAGAACTGCCCTGCTGGTTTCCCAGACTACCCCCTTCTCTTTTTAAAATCATTTTATTGGGGGCTCGTACAGTTCTTATCACAATCCCATCCATTGTGTCAAGCACATTTTTACATTTGTTGCCACCATCATTTTCAAAACATTTTCTTTCTACTCAAGCCCTTGGTATCAGCTCATTTCCCCCCTCCCCCACCCTCCCTCCCACATGAATCCTTGATAATTTATATTTTAATATTTTCATGTCTTACACCAATCACTCTCTCTCTAAGGGAGTAGGAAACTTTATCTTTCTCCCGAGAAGGACCTGAGATTTTGACTGCTGATCTTGGGGTCAGCAACCCAAGATCACCCCACTTGCCACCAGGACCCCTAATGGCACAGAGGGGTAAACCAGAAAAGAAGGGATCCTGTGACAGCTCGTCATCTCAAGGACACTACACACACGCTGAATGTGAAGCGAATTCCTTTTCCTGGAAGTCAGATCCATTCACTCAGTCACACCAAGTATAGGCCCAGCCATCTAGAGCAAGTTTCCCAAACACAGGGCTCTCAGAATTTTATTGTATTTATTGTGGTGAGAGTTTAATGGCAGACCTAGATAGTAAATGGTTATGCTGACTGGTGCACATGACATTTAAAAGGAAAAAATGAAAGCCAGAGAGGATTTCAAGAAGAATGAGAAAAAGCATTTTGGGAATGGAACAGAGTTCAAAACTATGTGCTGAAATTCTAACTCCTGTACTTGTGGGCAGGGAGTACTTACCCAGAGGCGTTGTAGGTTACACGTTGTTCTGCTGACCACAAGACCAGCAGTTCTCGTCTGGGGGAGAAAGATGAGTTTTTTTTACTGCTACAAAGGCTCCAAAACACATTGGAGCACTTCTCTGTCCTTAGGGTCGTTATGGTTTGGAATCAACCGGACAGCAGTGAGTACCTGTAGGCTGCTTAACCACAAGGTACTATGGTGGTTCAAACCGGCCAGCTGCTGATCTCTCATCAGTCTCTCTCTGAGAAAAAGAGGAGGTGACTGCTCCTGAGGTAGTTACTTTATTGTGCCAACCTGTCCGATAAACACGTGGGGTTAATTGAAGGGCGGAGAGATAAATGGCTCAGTGAGCCTCGCCTTTCTAGTTCTCGGGTCTCTTGCTCTCTGATGGTTGGACCAGGGTGCAGCTGCCTTAGCCAGTTCCCTGCTGCAGCT